TGCAACTGTTGTAATCTGTTTTTATCTATCTTTCCTTCTTTAGAAGTACACAGTTATTTCTTGTTGCTACCGAGTGCTTTGTAACTCCCGTCCGTTTCCACTGGTAACAACTAAACAGTGTCTAATTGAGCGGTTTATATAGGTGCCCTATATTACAGCAATGGAATAAACGATTATGGCGGACAATCCTATTCTAAATTGTGCTCAGCTCTAGACATTATTTTTTTCAAGATAGCGATCATGCATTTTGTTTGCTAAACAGCATAGTAAACTTTTATATTCTACCTTAAAAGGCATGCATTTTTAACAAATGTTGGAAAGTTTTAACAGTAAAATCTATGACTATATATTGCAACGTTGAATGCATTTAGAGAGGTCGGATAGAACAAAACCATATTTGGGTATTGAATTAATAAAGCGTTGGTAATGTTAGTATTTTTGTTTGGTTTATGCAGGTGGTAGTTGCAATTAATATTTAAACGATTAAACACGAGTAGAAGAATGAAATAAGTTTAGTTAGAATATATGATATGTGCACGTGCTATCATAAATTAAATAACCTATGAATGTGCATTTTTTTATAGGTATTTGATTTTTTTGTCCTGAAAATAAGCATTTTTCTTATAGCAATTTTTGTATCTTAGGGGGTGTGTCCACAAAGCAACGGACCTTTACCATAAATTAATTAATAATTCAACTTGTTTGTCCAGTTCGTCAGGTAAATTACATATAGTGGTTGACGTAAGATCTTTATAATTGTTCATTATATTGTTATAATTTGAAAAAAAGTTATGACCGCGTTTAAAAAATATATATATGTATATATATTTTGGGATTATTTTTTCATAATTTTTCTTGATTACAGTGAATGCTTCGTTAAGCAATTTGAGGAACTGTTCCCAAGAATGTGCAATAATAAACTCTGCATCAGAGGACAATTATATGAGAGTACAAATCAAATACGCTTATAATATCGTGTTGACTCTGGAACATAAGAAGAACACAAAATGTTCTTATTCATCTAAAGATATCAATATTGATTGCAAAATTGATCAAAACACATTGGGTAAGTTTCTACACTTTTTGCATAACAAAAAGTAATAAAGGAAAAGATAGACTAAGATCTCTAGGCAACCCCTGATTTCTTTAGACAAAGAATAAGTAATTGAATTAATTTTTAAATTTATTTTCCTAAAAGTCAACAACAAAGTTCTCTGTTCATGAATAATTCATAGCATTTTTCGAGTAGAAATAATTGCAGGTACTTTTTGAAAATGAACTTATAGTCTCAATGTGCATACGGTACCTTTATATGATAATTTTTTCCTTATAGAAAAGTCTGTAGATCACTTCTTGATACACATGCTTTGTTTAGAGCTACTTTAAATTGTATATGGTATGGTTTGCTAATTAAAATACATTGTAGCTGATAATTTTGATGGAGGTTCAAAAAAAAATTTCACAAGTCAACAATTCTTGTCCAATACTTTATAGCCTTTTGTGCTATCATATGTAGAAAGTAAATTTGTAATTTTTTGTGTTTTGGATTGAAGTATTTTGTTTCATGTTCATATTTTATAAAAACATGTAATTTAGAAATTACATGTATGATGCAGCATTATTAATTGAAGTAATGAGTAATAGAAGACTGTTTTTGTATTGTGCTAGAAATTGGTGGGTGGGGGGGTGTCTGTATTTATGGTCATATTCTCGCCTATAGATATGAAAAAATATTCTTTTATGGGTCAGCTAACAATGTCTCATTGATTTTACAGATTTTAAGCTTAAATTCATTGAATTTTTACTTTAAAAAGAACAAATATATCTTGTTATATGAAATATTCATCAAAGCTGTTTTTTGGCGAAATGCCAATTTTATTATTTTTCATTTTGTTATAGTCAACATTTGTTGTTATTTGACCATGAATGTTTTTTTTTTAATATTTTCATTACTTGTGACAAGTACCTTCAGATGAAATAAGTGATACATTGTGAAAGTTCTGCTAATTTTTTTATTTTTCTTCCCAAAATGGTGTTATGTTTCAGTTTTGACTAAATTTCGTTGTTATTTTGCCATTGTTTGACAAAGTATTACAAAATTTTCAAATAATTAATAAACATATTAAAGATATCATTTGAAAGTGTTTATGTTGTAGTTTCATGAGAAATTAGATCAGGGTTCTAATCATAAATATGGGTTCAGCACAGATGGTGTAAAAAGTGTAATTTTAGCAAGATTGCCATGCACAAATTAGCCCTATATATCGGAAAATTTGTATCCTGGTTACCATGGTAACAAAGGGTGTCCAGAAAAAAATTATGCCATACATATAAGTTTTACCCTAGGAAGATACTATATGCCAAGTTTGAAGAAAATCTGAGACTATGCGTGCCAGACCCTTTCAGAATTACTTTGGTAATTACAGAGAATTGCTCTTAATTAATGAAAAATATTTCGCAAAATAAAATAAATCTGAAATTAAAATGTCAGAAATCTTAAGGCATCCTTAAGTATCTTATTTTTCCATTTGATATATACTTGTACATTATACAGTAATAAGACCTATAGATTTATCTGTCTGTATTTAATGATTTCATTTCAGGGTCACTGCAAAGTTGCATAGTTGGACGTTGTCTTTTAGAACAAAAAGAAAAGAAACAAGTCACGGAGACACAGGCCTGTCCATGTTAGTATTAAAATGCAAAAAAATTGTAAATGAGACATGGTGGGGGGGGACATTTCTTAAAAGGGGATTTTTCTCCATTTTGAAGTGATCGGGAATGGTTAAAAAAAATTCATTTGAAATATATATATATATATATATATATATATATATATATATATATATATATATATATATATATATATATATATATATATATATATATATATATATATATATATATATACAAAGAAACTACAAAAAAAACAAGCGTTCCACAAGCATGTATTCAATCGATTTATCTTCACTTTAGCAGCATTTGAATTAAAATAAATATAACCTATATACAATTAAAAGGAAAGCTTGAATGAAATTAAAAAGATATGGAGATAATAAACATTATTCAAGAAGATAAAAATCCATTAAACAATACAAAATAGGAGCAAAAATATCTGAACAAAATTTTGATAAAGCATTTCTTTACTGTAAACCAACTTTTTTGGCGTCGACTTTATTTTGTGATTTATCGGGGTAAACAAGTTCGCGATGATTAATTTTCAGGATCAAGCCTATTTAGGTTCTCTTGTTAATGGACACATTAAGAACCGGTTCGCGATGACAAGACTCTCGCGAAACTCGCGAAAATGTCTCGTACGCGAATAAAAGTACAGTATTGTGTACATTGACCTTCAAATAGTTTGCAAAATGCAGATGTAAAATTCATTCGTACAGTAATAACAATTTAAAATATATCAGAATATCGATTCGGGGTATCTTAAGCAAATATTTCGAATGCCAAAGAAATTTATTTCACACAGTCATAAAACGTATTCATTTATACGTTCACAATGAAAAAGAAACAGAACAACGGAGAGTGGAAAGGAAGAAAAAAGAAACATGTGCGTTTTTGACGCGAAAATTCGACGTAACAATAAACACATTTTTCTCAACGTCAAAGCTTATGTCATTAAGACCGGTTTTGTCAGAGAGCGCTCTATTTACCATCTGATTATTGTCATGGTGTTAGGATCAACCCTTGAATATTTCTCATTGACAGGTATTTTGTTAATCTTAAAACTACATGTAATATGGCAGCTACAAATTGTATTTCAAACCAGAAATTCATTTTTTTACATGTACAATGTAGCAATTACATTTATATGGATAAATACTTAATTACGTAAAGTTGAAAACAGTTGAAAATACTTTTTATGTGAATTTTACAGAAAACCAGATGATATCACACCGAATCTACAATTATACATTTTCTGTATGAAAATGTTCCTGGAAGCATTTATGGATTTTGAAATGAAGGACGGAAGTGTGAGTGTATACAGAATCTCTTCACAGCAACCAATTTAAATCATCTAGTCAGAAAACGTAACATCTTTATTAGGTCTTAAAATTCATATTTTATGATTCAATCATCGAAGAAAGGGGGTATAAAACTTTTGTCCTGTCCATCCATCCGTCTGTTTTTGTCTGTTTGTCCGTTAATACCTTGCACATAACTTTTAAGTGGACGAGGCTATGACTTTCATATTTCAGAGGTGCATTCCTTTTGACAGGGCTTTCTTGACCAAAGAACTATATGCGGTATATTACATATACTTGCCCCCACAAAGGTTACATTTTGAAAACTTCATGAAATGTGCTGAATTCAATAAATTATATGAGAAATATAAATTAACAGAACATATTTTAGTTTCAAAGCAGTTTATTCACAATTTTTGTTTTTCTGACGTCACAAACTAGTCCAATTTCAGAATTTTTTTCAGAAAGAGGACAAAATGGAAAAAATTTCAACAGTTTTAGCTTTTAAATTTATAAAGCGCATGTTTGTTCAGGATTAATATTTACATATTTCATTGATATTATCATTCTACACATTATATCAAAATATTGATCCTGAACACACATGCGCTCGGTGACTTTTACTCAAAATATCGACGAAATATGTACATTTTTCTGTAGAATTCATTAAAAACTGAAATTTACGTCATATTTGTGACGTCATTAAGTACATATGACGTCATTTCTTATAAAAATATTCAGTGCTTTGAAGTCAGCATATACTCCCCTGTTTAAGAACTTAATTAAAGATACCTCCATCAAAGTTTGATTTGGGGGGGGGGGAATTTTGGTTATTTCCGAATAAAGTTCTTTGGCCTCTTGGCCTTAGAGTTTAACTTACTTTTACACAATATTACCTAACTTACACCTTGGTCATAATTTTCGAACATTTGGTACTAGGCCTTCCAAACCTTATTTGTGTATTTATTTTGACAAGCCCTTCAATGAGTATAAATATCTTGGATCTTTTGATGTTGACCTTAGAGGTTTTACCTACTTTCAAAAAGTCTTCATCTTTGGCCATAACTTTTGAACAGTTAAAAACTAGATCTTTCATATTTCACAGGTTCATTCCTTATTACAAGACCGTTTGGATACCTTCAGTAATTTTAACCTTTTGACTTTGACCTTGGAATTTGACTTGCATTTGAGAAAGAAAGTTCAACGCTTCCTTTAAGCTGACATAGGGGGGGGGGGGGGCATCAGTGTTTCACAATCGCATCTTATTTATCATGTGTAAAATAGAAAAAAATGTTCTGCATGTATATATTGATAATTTTTTTTTTAACTTGTTGATTTGATAATCCTTTTTCAAATAAGGACATTTTACACAGATAATTTTTTGTTCAAGATTTTTAAATTAATATCATCTTTAGGTAAAATTTCTTTATTATACCTCTGATGTTATGGATGTCCATGTTTTCTCTGTTCCTGCTTTGTATTGTTTTATGGACTTTTCAACTTGAATTCTGTTCGTTATCTTCACATACGTATTTCATGTACTACATTTACTAAAAGACAAGGGCGTGTTCGATTTTACGACAGTAACAATGAATGATATCATAATGATCTTTATAATGAGAATCTAAATATCATGTAAATATTGTTGGCAAATGAAAAAAAGATCATTGCCATCTTTAAGTGGTCATACATTTAATTCAATCAAAATAATTTGATGAGGATATAAAACTAAAATGTGCTGACAAGAAAAGGGGTTCACTAGTATACATATAACAATAAAAACCTTTACTTTGTCTGAACTTATAAAAAATATTAAAACATCATTAGCTTAGAGTCTATGATCCTATCGTCAAGCACAAAGACTAATCTTCAAATTAAAGATCGTCATTTTACTCACCAAAGTTAAGTTTATCAAAGAAACCGAGGATACTTGATGAAGAACTAGAATGCCACAATTTTTAAAAGTTTTATTAAGATAATTGAAACATACATATTCCTTAATTTGTCTTTGATAAAATACTCTTTAAAGATGGGTTGTTACTTGCATAAATGCAAGATTTAAAATATTCCTTAGCTTAATTTCGCATGACTCATTGTTTTCAACAATAACAGAGTATAAAAGCCATCTATGCCATTTCTTTTCTTAGTTTGTTGTTGTTTACTGCTGGTAAATAAAAATAACATATTTGTCAAAAAATGAATGTTCTTTTTCTGCCAAAAATAATTTTTTTACCAAGTAATTCAATGGCATATCATTGTGATATTATCACAGCTGTATATATACACATTTGGTGACTGTCTAATGAAAGAAAATCGAGCTAAGGACATTATGCAAAAAATCCTATCAACCAACGGAACACGTGTTAAGTTTTCTATGAATAACGCTATTTCACTATTTTTGGGGAGAAAATTGACCAATTTAATCGGATATAATTTTACATGACAGATACTTATTTACATAAACAAAGGGGAAAAAAACATGTACAATCCAATTAGAAACTCAATTCAGATTTTTTTTTTTAAATCATGATTTGTAGATGTTTTTTGGATACAGAATACGTTTATATCAGAAATTGGTGCAAAAATGCCGATCAAATAATTGTGACTAACTGAAACAGACCTTGGGTTTTTACAAATTAATATAATGCTTGTATTAATGCATATGATGTGTATATTACTATAAACACCTAGTATAAACATTTATTACAATCAATATCTTTGCCCCATGTGTGCAGCTGAGGATTTGATGAAGTAGAGATTATGAATCATACAAAAAAAAAACAGTTTAAATTCTATATTACATAATAGTTTAAGTTCTCAATTTTTTTCATATGCAGGGAAATTTCCTTATGTGGGCAAGGAAATCCTGGCGATTAGAAATTAACCAAAATTTTTATATCATTTAATCATAAAAATGCATATTTTTGCGGATTTAATCTCAGATGGCTCAGATACTAGAAAACATAGTACGAAAAATTAATTACAAACAAAAAAAATCAGAGAAAAAGGAGAAAATGTAAAATAGTACAAGAGGCCCATGGGCCACATCGCTCACCTGAGCACATGGGCTAGTTAAAACACAAATCAGCATAGTATTGAAAGGTTAACTTGTTGTTGGAGGGGGGTTTGATTTTTTTATTACTTGAGCATCTCACTATATCACTAAAGCATACATAAGCATACATGTATAATTTCGCCATACTTGAAAAGAAGAGTTTTAAAGATTTTTCTTATATATTTCTATCTAAAGATTTGATTGCCCATCATAGCCCCACCTTGCCTCCCTGGTCATTATATAAATGCTTGAATTAACTCTAACTGAGGATGTTTCTATATTAACATCAACGATCATAGCTTTGCTATTCTTGAGAAGATTTTAAAAAGATTTTTCCTATGTATTCCTGTATAAAACTTTGATTAGCCATTGTGGCCCCTCCATATACTCTGGGGTCACGATTTGAACAAACTTAAATCTACATTACCTGAGGATGCTTCCACAGTATTTTCATTTTTACTGGCCCTGTGGTTTTGAATAAAGATTTTTAAAGATTTTTTCCCTATACATTTCTATGTAAAACTTTGATCAGCCGTTGTGACCCTGTCCTACCTACGGGGGTCATGATTTGAACAAACTTGCATTTACACTACCTGAAGATGCTTCCACATGAATTTCATCGTCCCTGGCCCAGTGATTCTGGAGAAGATTTTAAAAAAAAATTTCCTACATATTCCTATGTAAAACTTTGATCAGCCATTGTGGCCCCGCACTATCCCCGGGGGTGATGATTTGAACAAACCTGAATCTACATAACCTGAGGATGCCCCCACTTGAGTTTCATCTTTCCCGTCTCAGTGGTTCTTGAAAAGAAGATTTTGAAAAGATGCCATTAAATTTTTATTAATTCATAATTATCTCCCCTTGGAAAAGGGCTTGGCCCTTCATTTTAACAAACTTGAATCCCCTTTACCCAAGGATATTTTGTGCCAAGTTTGGTCAAAATTGACCCAGTGGTTCTAGAGAAGAAGATGAAAATGTGAAAAGTTTAGGACGATGACGACAACGACAACAACTTCGACAGACAACGGACAAATTTTGATCAGAAAAGCTCATTTGAGCCTTTGTCTCAGGTGAGTTTAAAATAATTATAAGGAAGCTCGTAAAAAGCAGTTCTTGGCATAATTGATCTAAAAGCTGACTGAAAAATACTAATACAAACTTTTAAAAGTGTTAAATATAATTGTTTGATATGTTTAAAATGAAGAAAACAAGGCGGACATTAATCACATAAGTTTATATTAGATGTAGAAACTGTTTCTAAAACACTTATGTCTAATGAAATAAACATTATTACATGTAACGGGACGTGGACACAGTTTCAACTGAATTGTTTCCGAATTTATTTTTCTATTTTTTTATTTATACTTAGCTAAGGTATTTTTTATGATCATCAAAAATTTGAATTTTAGTTGTTGAGATACAAGATAGATTTGGAGGTTCTAAACTTTGTTATGTTAACAAGGCAAGTGTCTTGTTTTGGTTTACATTGGTTAAATCTACTAGTATATCTTCGTTCAAAGAAGCTTTTTTGCAATCAAGATATTAATTCTAAATATGATAAGCCGATTTTAAGTAATTTCCTGAATCTCACTTTGCCATAGATATCGTGATATTTTCAGCGAAATAAACGAAATTAATTATATAAATTCCCAACGAATATTTGTGCTTTGACAGTATATAAACAAAAACAAGGCACGAGTCTTGATTACATTATGAAGAATTTTAAGGTCTTTTTCTCCTTTGTAAATCAACAAATGATGTTCAAATTTTTGCTGATCCTTTCAATTGCTCTAATTAGGAATGGTAAACATTAAATTTTATTGTATTTTTAATCAGTTGAAACTTTGTCCATATCCCTTTTAGGGGTGCAACTGCATTGGTTAATAACATTTATTATTTCACCAAATTAAGAGTACATGTAATAAGGTTGCGACACTCGCTGAAGTAATTATTAATTGAGGCCAAAACTTTAAAGATGCATAGACATAGATTTGAAGTTAATATTTTCTTAAATTTTCTGTATGATATAACGACCTATACATGTATATTGCATTGGTATTTCGCTTGAAAATGTGATAAGAATCTCATTTCATGTCAAAGTTATTGAAACTTTGAATTTCTGTGGCAATATTAAGTCTATAATCCATAAAATTCAGAGTATAAAACCCCCTCACAGTACATTGTCACCTCGTGCTCAGTGGTTTTTGCAGACTTAAACAATTGAACACACCCGATTATTCGTAAGCATTAACAATAACAGAGCTCGTGCCATGTTCACAAAAACAGTTTTCGTTTCACGGGTGTAATCAGTTTGCTTATGAACATTTCTACTCTGAATTTTCTAGATTATAGGTTATTTATTTTACATTTATACACAATGGAAATAACATTTTGCTTACGTATTATAAGAAAAATTAAAATTCGTGAAAGTTTCAAGGATGTATCAATCAAACCTGAATTTCGAAGTCCAATAACTTCGAGATCAAGAATGATATGAAGATAACGAACAGTAATCAATCTCAAAGTCCATAAAACAATACAAAATAAGAGCAGAGCAAACACGGACCCCCAAAACATCAGAGGTGGGATAAGGTGCCATGGAGGAGTGAGCATCCCCTGCCGACCAGTCACACCCGCCGTATGCTCCTTGTCATGATCAGGAAATAACGGGAAAAATCCGTCGTCAATTCAGTGTATAAATGATGGACTAACAATTGGTATGAAAAACGTCAGTCAGCATTTGACTCAATGATAAACTGTATTTGCTGACAAGGTCATTGTTTCGACCATAGAATTTACGAAATGATGACTTTAAACGAATCTGCTGATATTCTTGTTTCATCAACGTGCTTGTCAATAATTTACTCGTTTTAGAAATTGTTCATACGTAGAGCATGCTCTTGTGTTTCGATTCAACTGAGATATATATACAGTATATATTTTATATGATCGGTAAAGGACGAGGAATTTAACTTACACTCGCAGTTCCCTTTCTAAAGAAGAAATTGTTTAGAACCACATTTCATCGTCTTTTAAAATCTCATTGCAGTCCAGTCAACCAAGCTAAGTTCAATCAAACTTATTTTACTGGATTTCTTAACTTTCTAATAATCCTTATAAACAGGGATACATTGCAGCCAGGGTTCAGCAAATGCTCTATCAAGGTTCCTATTTGTAATCGTCGCAAATATGTTCATTGCTGTGAAGATACGCCACAGCAAATTCTAGAAGTGGTGTTAATTAGATGTGAAATTTCAAAAAAAAAACTTCAAAGAAAGTTTAGAAAGTTTAAAATAACATTTTCAAAAGTCATTAACATAAAATCATACTATTTAAATACACTTTTTACTACAAATTCCAACCATAGATAAGCATACACACTCAACACTGCAACAGGGCGACGACTGGTCAGGAAGAAATTTAATTTGTTTAAAATTGCTTTAGTTATACATAAGTAATCAGAGGTTGATATGATATCAAAAGAATGCTAGAACTTATTATTGATTAACCTTAATGTTGTCTTCGGCTTTCAGCAGAATGTTTGAAAATTTTCAATGGACACTAATTGTGTTGCTTTACTGGTCGGCCGGTTTTTATATTTCTATATAGCGGAGTTTATTCAGAAACTTTTATCTTCATTTAAGCATTGAATTAATATTTTTGGATGGCTTCGGTCCTATAACATACCTGGCCGTGCCGACAAATTGAATACCGCGCGTTAGCGCGGGTTGATAATTTGTCGGCACGGCCAGGTGTGTTATAAGACAGAAGACAGCCAAAAATATGAATTCAATGCTTATATTTATATTCTCTAATTTTCCTTCTTCGTAATTTCTTATATCGTTAATCTTTAATGTGAATTTAGCGCCCTTCAAAACTGACGTGGTCAATAGACGTAAGAGCAGTTTGTGACGTCAGATGACGTTGCAAAGTTAAATTACGAAAACAAACTTTGCGAGGAAAAAAAAGTGACAAATTAATTTCAAACGCACATTTGTAGTAATTTTACGTTAATTGAACAGGATAATAGTTTTTTATTAAATTGAATCAACACATTGTACATTTTGGTGTTCCTAGATTATAGAAAATGCATATTGTTCCTACTATGTATTCTATCGCGCGGTGAAAAGGTTTTGCGTGTGTTATAGAAATTTGAATGTCATGGATTTCAAATGAATTTCAGAAGGAAAAATGCATGGAATGTAAATATAAGAAAAAACACACTTCCTGTGGCATGGACATTTGCATACATCTATGTTGTATTATCAATTAAGAACAGTAACCCCATCATAGGTCGACTTGACAAACCGAAGTGATTTATATTCAATAAAGACAGCGAAGAGTTGCCACTTGTGTTTCTTTTTATGGCTTCCATATGCTCAGAATCAAAGTGTATAAACATATTTTCACGCAACTCCGTTAATTTTCAGACAAAATAGAGAAATTAAGAATAAAAGTAGTTCTAAATTTGTCCTTTATTAATGACAAAAGGGTAAGACATGAAAATTAAGAGATCCTATTTTTCTTTACTATTTGTACATACACCTGGATTTGGATTTCCCAAAGCTTGAAGGTACAAAATGATAGTAATCAAAACTACAATGTAATGAAACACTTTTGTTGAAAAATAGGGTGGCGACCAGAATATGCCAACCTAACCCAACTTTATTCAAACACCTATGTAACAAAATAATAAGGTGGTAACAAACCATAGGCTAACTAACAATTTGATAATAACATAATGTAAATTTACTACCCATGGGACAGTTGAATGGGGTGGAAGTGGGTATGTTTTCCTTTACAACTCTCAGCATGCACAGACACTTGCAGCTTAGGCATCTAACATTGATACTAATCACATGATCACACGTAATGTAACTGCCGGTATTAAGAAATTTCGAACACCTGAGACAAGTCATTACCTAACTTGCAAGTAGTTTACCAAGCCTAAGTGAACACATTACCTAACTCACAGATAGCTAAATTCTTTATTTAAAAAATGCAACGACACATCTGAATGCATTCCTAAAACATTATTTCCAGTTTATTTCCAATAATATTACATTTTTAAACACATTGTTTCCCACAACTCCGTTATTTTTCAGCCAGAATACAAAATACCCCCTACAACTAACTTGATAATTTGGCATAATGATACTTTTATTGTTGCAGCAGATCTAAATAGTCCCTATTTTTTACCGTGATTTTAGATGTTGTACCCTAATGAATCGGTTACGCTAACAATAGGTATAGGTATATGTAAGTAATCTGACGTACATATGTACCTATGTAGTTGATAGAGGCGTCGGTGTCGTCCTCAATGCTGCTGCTGGCTTTAAATGAGACGATGAGTACCTTTGAATCATCAACTTATTTTTCAGGAGTCTGTCTTGATTTGGAAATTGGTCGCTCAATATACGGTACTCTTTTTATTTTATTTGAAGCAACAACTAGAATATTTAGAAATAGGTGTAAGAAAACAATTTCATGAAATTCCAACTAATCAACTAAAACAAGTATCGTGAAGTGGTTAGAATTGACTATGTAGTATATATGGGAAGGATTTTAATGTTTCATTTGTGACATAAGTGCTGTCTCATTTTTAGGAAATGATATTTCGTATATTTTTTTTAATAAAATAACCCGGATGAATTTATGCATCGGCAAATCTTGCTTCCTTGAACAAGGCACAAATTAATTGTCCTGCTTAAACTGTTAGAAAACTCTGAGCTAGCCGAGATGAGATTGGGTAAAGAATGATTTGGTTTATCTTAAACAATTAAAACGTTAACCATGCTATATATATGTGTGCTACATTTAGAAAATGAAATGTAATTTGAGATAACACGATTTAGCATTGAAATAATGAAATATTTTATTTTCATGTAAACACCTTTAGTAGTTTTCCTGAAGTTTGTAGCAGCTGCATTTGTAATGTCCAATCATCTTGCCTACTGCAATGCAGATATGTAAGTATAAAAATATTTTCTCTTTCATTTTTATTAAGAGAATTGCCTCGTCTCGAGCTCCGACGGAATATTTTTTCCGAAATTCAAAAATAACATTTGGACCGATTAAAAAAACAAATAATTTTTTTTTTTCGAAAAAAATGTCCAAAAATGTCTTAGGCTTTTGCATATGGCTATAATGCACCCTAAAGCTTATCAACACCTGAAAAAGATGAGGTCCCTCTCTTTATAGAAACAACTAGTGGCGTATCAATGGTTAGAAAAGCAATGAAATGAACGTAACACGTATGTTCGACATAATATTCAAACAATTTAATTTTTAATTGTACGATATGAGAATTCAGGTTAGTTAAGGAAAAACTTCAACAGTACTGTTCTACAATATATTGGAGAATTGATGAAAATCAAATGTAGATGCAAAAAAAAATTCCAAAGAACTTATGGAAAACTTGAAATCACAAAATTTTAACAAAATCAACAACACAAAAACTTTCGACTTTTTAACTATTCCTCACGATAAATTAAAGTCCACGCTTTCTAACATTATTTACAACTTCTTTTCAATAAAAATGGAACTCGTAAATTTACATTTACATTCATTGGTCATTTGCAAAATTACTTTGTTAAAAATATTTGATTGTACATACAATACATTGTATACACACATTGTATTCTGAAGTTGATATTAAAAAGATTCTCCAGTTTCTGATTAACATATTTTTTTTTGGGGGGGGGGGGGCAGGTCTTCCAAATATCTATAGGAATTCACATGGGGACCAATTGCGTACTTTTATTAGCAGACCTATTTTTGTGTTCATGTAAAGCAGAATTTGTTCAAAATCTTGTATAAAGAAGAAATCACTTGATGAAGCCTTCAAATCAACATTTAGATATATCGACGACATATTGTCAACTAGAGATATTTATATCCATTATTATGTTGACACAAATAATCCCGATAAGCTTGCAATAAAAGATACCACAGAGTCTGACAGATGTGTTTCATATTTCGATCTTTTACTAGAAAAAAGTTAAAGGTTATCTAACAACATTTATGATAAACGTGATGACATTAACATTTTAATCGTCAATTTTTCTTACTTTTGCATAAAAAAAAACTTTAACACCTTCATACGAAAATTATATCTTTCAGTTGATTTGATACGGAAGAACATGCATGTTATTGACAAACAAGTTAATGATACGTATACACGATTGATTTTTCCCCGTTATTTCCTGATTATGCCAAGTAGTACACGGCGGATGTAACCGGATGGCAGGAGAAGCTCACTCCGCCATGGCACCTGATCTCACCTCTGATGTTTTTGGAGGTCCGTGTTTGCTCCGCTCATATTTTGTATTGTTTGAGAGACTTTTGAGCATCAACTTGCTTGTCAACAATCTACATCGTTTTAGAAACTGTTCATACGTAGAGCATGCTCTTGCGTATCGAATCAAATGAGATATAAATACTCCGTTTGCAGGTGTACGGTATATTGATGGATAAGTAAGGGAAGTTGACGATAGAGAAGTTAAAGTCATCACGTTTATCATAAAGCTTTTTTGTTAGATTACCATTAGCGTCTTTTTCAAGTAAAATATTCAAGTATGAAACAGGTGTGTCAAATTCTGTGACTCCAAACAAGGGGTAAGGTTCAAAGGTGTAACCCCAAATAAGTATAAATATTTTTATGAATATATAATTGCGTGGATTATGGTCTTTATATAATAATCATTTCATAAAACTGGAACATCTAGTGGTAGACTGTACAAATAGTATTACATGTAACTAATCAAATTTATATGAAACTATGATAAAGTGTCTAACTATGTTCTGGATTTCAGAAATTGTATCCAAAGAGCTACACATTTTTTCAGAGAAATAACAAATAAAACAGGTTGCATATCGAAATCTTCAAGTAAGTTCCTTTTTCTTGAAAGAACATAGAAATTAAGTTAAAGTAATTTTAGGTGATGACCATGATTAATGAAAGCCTTTTTAAAAAGGACTTATTAGTGATAACATTTTCTTTTATTTTTTTCAGTTAACTTTTACCTGAGAAACTGTTATGGGGTTTGTTCAAAAACAATATCTGAAGAAAAGACAGATGGGTATGTTGAAATACTTCTAAAATATGATGCCGAAGAAATCGTAAGATTGAAAGATAAGAAGAATACTGAATGTGGATACAATCTTACAAATATCGTTATAGAATGCACCATTGAAAATAATACACAGAGTAAGTGTACCATGAATTGGGAAACTATTGTAAAAATCTGTTTTTCATTTAACAATTTTATAGAACGGAAATTGAATTGCTTTGCACTATCTATAATTTCAGAGTCTCTTCAAAGCTGTATTACAAGCCATTGTATTTATGGAAATAATATCGATAACCGAAATGGTTTGTAAAATATTTTTCATGCTAAAAGATCTGAATAAATATCAAAATTCTCTTTATATTTTTTCTTTATTATGTCACAAAATAAATACATAAATATTCAAAAACTGAAACTTTTCATTCTTCGGAAACAGTTCAAAGGTCTCATTGTGACGTCAATACTAGCCCTCTTATAATCATGGCTGCCATATTCGGTGGACTCATTGTCGGCTCTGTCGTGACAATATGTTTAAAAGATAAACAGATCTGGTAAACTATCGAAAGCATAATACTGAAAGCACTCATTATTAGACAATAAAAGTTATTAAAAATGCTCTCTTTTTTGCAGAAAAAATATCTACTTTTAAAATCCACAATTATTTAAAGTTGATTACTATCAAGATAAGAGTTAATGAAATAAATTTCTACATATGTATTAAGAATTTGATAAAATCTGCGATTATTTCTTAATTTAATGCTTGAAGTATTATGTTGGGTCCAATATTTCAATCACTGACAGAAGACGAGAGGAAAACCTGTAACAACAGTGGAATCCCTGAAGCTTTAGACAAGGTATTACATTTCTAACACTATTTTTTAGCTTTGAATTTACAACTGTTCTTCTTAAATTTTATGTTATTGCAAGTAGCTTCTGTGACATCATTTATTTTTTCATTAATGTAGGTGTTACGGTAATAAATAGTACTTGTACATACATACTTAGTAACATATATTACACCGAGAAAAGTTTTCAGTGTTATGATATCAATACATCCTCAAGGTAGGATTCTTCTCATATTTCTTGTATTTAGAAATTATTGAAAGTTTCACAGAATCAAGAACACAGTATCCCTAAGTGATGGTATCAGTGATATTAAATTTGACCGTTTAATATTAGAGGCAAGGTCAGTCAAGGTCATAACCTTTTCTCTAGACAATAAGAATAAAAAAAATATTGTTGCCAATCGTCTGATTCCTACATACATTTCAAATGATTGAATGTCTTTTCTTTTGCATGAACAGTAACTATTATATAGGGCCTACAAGATGACTTTACAAAATTGACATAAATGATTTAGCTAAAATGAATATTGGCTAATCCGGATTTTCTCTACTTTCTTAAACTTTTAAAATATATTAGTTATCTTTATATGAATCCTATATTTTAGTTTTTTTTATTTTCACATATGGTAAAGTTGTCACATAAAGAAACAAACTGATATAAAAACGAAAAGTTTTGATCGTTTACTTAGAGAGACTAACACTTCTTACATATCTTTTGCTCAATTTTCTATTTAGATTGGAAGTTGTTACAGTGTAAAAAGCTAACATAGTTCTAGCTTGTCTGACAAATCATATTTATTTGATATAATTTGACATTTCCGTCACTCATTTTTAATCTAACTTACATGAAAAATTTTTAAAGTCTCTGATTATGTAAAAATGATAACTAAATTTATTCTTCTAAAATAGTTTTGAGAGGCAGAAAAGAAGATATTTTTACACCATTCCGCCAAAAATATATTCCCTGCAAGTTTTCGAACGCAGATTACCATTTCTATGTTAAGTTGTACAATTGTGATGAGAAAAGAAAAATGTGGTCTTTTAAATGTCTTACACCCTAAATAGAAAAGATATAAGCAACTATACTTTGAATATTTCATCCAGTCAGAAACCAGAGAAGAATCCTACCTTAAGCAAGCAAAATAAACCTGTTAAGCGGCTTGTCTATTTGGTTGCTTTTTGCTGAAAATTTTATGGCAAAGAAATACATTTTGCAAACAGTTGTTTACATAATCATAATAAGACAATTCTTAGAACAATTATACACAGTGTTTGTACTCAGTCACTGTGTAATATTTTTAACTCAGTATTCAAGTATATATGTATATATGAAAGTGATACAGGGTTGTTATCACTGTCTTTTAAACTCTTCTTTTTAATTTAAGGACCTTTCCGATGAACACATTCGAACATCTCAGCAGCAATTGAAGACAGTTTCTGTGTATGAAGATGTTCATGATGAAGATGTTTATAATCACTTACGAGAGGAAACTGAGTCCAAACCAGAGAGAGAAGAAAGACATTATTCAACGATGCAGGTTTTATCTTGTCGTGAAGAAAACCCTGAAAATGCCTTACTTAATGAAAATGCTAAAGATGTTGATGAAATTTAAGAAGATGCAAATCAAACGAAACAGTTGCAGGCCAACGCTGGAGGACTGAGCTGTAACGAAATATCTCCCGAGTGCTCGTGTACATATTTTACTCTTGAAAGGAAGTTTTCTTAAATTTTCATTTTCATAAGATCGCATTTTTTTATGAGAATTGTACTTTACTTCATGAAGTCTACAGGCAGGAGAGTGTAATATACAACTGCGTAATAATAAAGAGTGGTTTTAATATAATGTCCAATTTTAGTGGTATTAATTATATGAAATTTTCAATGAAATATACATGTTCATGTTTGTGTATGAAAAGCAGTTTTTCAAACGATTCATACACTACTGAATTAAATATCCCCTTAGATTCCAAAAAATCCCCTGTTGTCCCCCTGTCAGTCCCTGACATTTTCCTGTCTCTCCCTGACTTTCTCCTATGATCCCCTGTCGTTGTCCCTGCTCTCCCTGTCCAGTCCCTGTCGTCCCCTGTCGTTGTCCCTGCCTTCCCTGTCTACTCCCTGTCGTCCCCTGACATTCTCTGATCTCCCTGTCTAGTCCCTGTCGTCCCCTGTCGTTGTCCCTGCCTGCCCTGTCTACTCCCTGTCGTCCCCTGACATTTATTTTGGCCAAGAAAAGGAGTTTAAAAAATATTTTTGTTGCATTTAAGAGTGAAAAATGATATAGTCTTGAAAACTTTAGGAATATATTTGAAAATATAGACTTAAAAGTAAAAAAGTTAACACATTTTCAAATGCCTTAACTTAATCCCCTGTAATGAAGTTTCTATTACTTGTATCGATGTGATTTTTTTTTTTTAGTTTGGAAGCATTTCCAGGGGTGAACGGCAGAGAATTGCATCGATTCTCAAAGAAGAAATAAATTACCAATTTATTTCATCTTGTGATGCTAGACGGCATATATTTTGTGCTTTATGAACCTTTTATATATATTTATAAACTTTTTCATTTTTTATTTGATATACTTTAAAACATCTTTAAGCGTAATAACTGTCTTTGTAAAAGAAATAGATTTAAACATTTGGGATAAATTATCAAATCCATGCATGGGATATTTTGTTTTTTCAAAGAATTAAATTATTAAAAATTAATTGAAAGGAATGATATATAAACGCATTAATAAAATAAATGTCTATTCAATAAATAAAAATTATTAAATAAACTAAAAATCTACTTTATTCATTTATATTCTTATGTGAATAAATCTACAAATCGACTGAATGAATGAATGAATGAATAAATAAATAAAATTATATAAATTTATTCATTTATTTGTTTATTTTGTAATTCATCATTCATTTATATCCCCAAAATTTGATTTATTATTTTTATTTTATTTATTTGCTGAAATATGCTACAAAGTATTTTATAAGCATATTAAAACGACTTTTTATTACTTTAATTACATGATGGATATCAAAATAATCGTCTTATTATGCACATTAATCTGTCAATTAGATTTTTGACCGTTTGTGTTGACTGAAACATCGGTTTTCAAAACCCTAACACTGTTCTGAAACAACATCAAAACCATTGATGTTTACCAGTAATTAACTCGGGGTACACAGTCATGACACCTATTATCTTTTTTACTGACCGCTATACCTTGTTTATGTTGTGGCAGGACGCCCTTTTGTAGTTTGCAGCTGTTTGAAATAACATTGTCCTTGTATGAGAACTTTTTTTTTCAATGAAAACAAAATAAAAGTATCAAAGAAACTATTGACGGGTGAAGATTGTGCATTATGAGACGATTATTTTGATATCCATTATGGAAGTAAAATAATTAAAAGCCGATTTAATATCCTTAAAAAATACTTTGACACATATTTTTTCGTAAATAGTTTTACATAAAATAAGCCAAAAAAATCCCAATTTCGGGAATTTGATGAATTTGTTTGTATCCTCAATTTTACAAATAAAAAAGATTGTTTTTATATTGCATAAATACATGCAGTTAATAAGTTTTTTTTTCTTTTTTTTTGGGGGGGGGGGGGGTAACTAACTATTTAAAATCAATTATTATATTGATTTTAAAAACTTAATTATTTCAAAATGAACCAATACCCCCTGCTGTCTCTCTGTTTTTTCTTTTTTTTTTCTTTTTTTTCTTTCTTTTTTTTTTTTTTTTTACAAATGGTACAAAGTCAAACCAGTATTTAACGAATAAAACAGATTGAAGCGAAATAAATTCATAGTAAACAAATAAAATAAAATAAATGAATAATGAAAAAATTATTAATAAAATATCAATCCATTTATTTTTGAAATTGAAAATACAACAAATTAATGAATTATTTATATCTGCAAAAAATTGTGTTTCTTTAGTTTAATTTTATATAAACACTTGCATCCGTAGATGTGTTACAAAGTATTTTATTAGCGTATTAAAACGACTTTTCATTATTTTAATGACATGATGGATATCAAAATAATCGTCTCATTATGCACAATATTAATCTGTCAATTAGATTTTTGATGCTTTGTTTTGATTAAAAAGTCGGTTTTCAAAGCCCTTACACGGTTCTGAAACAACATCAAAGCCATTGATGTTTACCAGTAATTAACTCGGGATACACAGTCATGACACCTTTTATCTTTTTTCACTGACCGCTATACCTTGTTTATGTTGTGGCAGGACGACCGTGTGTAGTTTACAGCTGTTTGAAATAACATTTTCTCTTTGTATCAGAACTGATTTTTTTTCCAATCAAAACAAAATAAAAGTATCCAGGAAGTTATTGACGGGTAAAGATTGTGCATAATGAGACGATTATTTTGATATCCGTCATGGAAGTAAAATAATTAAAAGCCGATTTAAAATCCTTCAAAAATACTTTGATACATATTCTTTTGTAAATAAAATATCAATCTATTTATTTTTTGAAATTGAAAATACAACAAATTAATGAATCATTTATATCTGCAAGAAATTGTGTTTCTTTAGTTTTATTTTATATAAACACATGCATCCGTAGATGTGCTACAAAGTATTTTATTAGCGTATTAAAACTACTTTTTATTATTTTAAGTACATAATGGATATCAAAATAATCGTCTCATTATGCACAATATTAATCTGTCATTTACATTTTTGATACATTGATTTGATTGAAAAAATCGGTTTTCAAAACCCTAATACGATTCTGAAAGAACATCAAAGCCATTGATGTTAACCAGTAATTAACTCGGGGTACACAGTCATGACACCTATTGTCTTTCTCGCTGACCGCTATACCTTGTTTATGTTGTGTTCAGAGTGACCGTGTACAGTTTGCAACTGTTTGAAATAACATTTTCTCTTTGTATGAGTACTTAATTTATTTATTTTTTTTCAATCAAAACAAAATAAAAGTATCAAAGAAGCTATTGACGGGTAAAGATTGTGCATAATGAGACGATTATTTTGATATCCATCATGGAAGTAAAATAATTGAAAGCAGTTTAAATATGCTTCAAGAATACTTTGATACATATTTATCGTAAATCATTTTACATAGAATATGCCAAACAAATCCCATTTTCGGGTATATGATTATTAAGTTTCCTTGTATCGTCAATTTTAAAAATAAAAACATTGTTTTTATAATGATTAAATACATGCAGTTAATAAGTTTTTTTTTTTAATTTACTAAATATCTAAAATCAATTAATGTATTGGTTTTAAACAATAAAATATTCTAAAATGCACCAATACCCCCTGCTGACTCTTTTTCTTACAAATGGTACAAAGTCAAACCAGTATTTAATGAATAAAACAGATTACAGTGAAATAAATATATAGTAGATAAATAAAATAAAATAAAAAAAAAATGAAATAATTATAAATAAAATATCTATTTATTTTTGAAAATGAAAATACAACAAATAAGTCAATCATTTATATCCGCGAGAAATTGTTTTTCTTTAGTTTTGTTTTATTCATGTTTTATTAATTTAGTAATGGTGTGACTTTCTACCTTTTGTAAGAAAACAAAAAAGAAGAAAAGAAAGCAGGGGTACTGGCGCATTTTGGAATATTTCAGTTTTTAAAATCAATACAATAATTGATTTTAAATAGTTAGTAAATAAACAAATAAATAAACTAATTAACTGCATGTATTTAATCATTATAAAAACAGTGTTTTTATTTTTAAAATTGACGATACAAGAAAACTAAATAATCATATACCCGAAAATGGGATTTGGCATATTCTATGTAAACTGATTTACGATAAATATGTATCAAAGTATTTTTGAAGCATATTAAATCTGCTTTTAATTATTTTACTTCCATGATGGATATCAAAATAATCGTCTCATTTTCCACAATCTTAACCCGTCAATAGTTTTTTTGATACATGTACTTTAATTTTGTTTTGATTGAAAAAATCAGTTCTCATACAAAGAGAAAATGTTATTTCAAACAGGTGCAAACTGTACACGGTCACTCTGAACACAACATAAACAAGGTATAGCGGTCAGCGAGAAAGACAATAGGTGTCACGACTGTGTACCCCGAGTTAATTACTGGTAAACATCAATGGCTTTGATGTTGTTTCAGAACCGTGTTAGGGTTTTGAAAACCGATTTTTAATCAAATTAATGTATCAAAATTGTAAATGACAGATTAATATTGTGCATAATGAGACGATTATTTTGATATCCATCATGGACTTTAAGTAATAAAAAGTCGTTTTAATACGCTAATAAAATACTTTGTAGCATATTTCAGCAAATAAATAAATAAAACTAATTAAATAAATTTTGGGGATATAAATTTATTTATTTATTTATTTATTTATTTATTATTTATTTATTTATTTATTTATTTATTTATTCATTCTTAATTCAGTCGATTTGTAGATTTATTCACATAAGAAAATAAATAAATATAGTAGATTTTTAGTTTATCTAATAATTTTTATTTATTGAATAGACATTTATTTTATTAATGCATTTATATATCATTGCTTTCAATTAATTTTTTATTCATTTAATTCTTTGGGAAAACAAAATATCCCACGCATTGATTCGATAATGTATTCCCAAATGTTTCAATCTAGTTCTTTTACCAAGACAGTTAAAAGCTCAAAGATGTTTCAAAGTAGATCAAATAAAAAATGAAAAAGTTTATAAATATATATAAAAGGTTAATAAACCACAATGTATATGCCGTCTACTATCACAAGATGAAATAAACTGGTAATTTATTTCTTCTTTAGAATGATGCAATTCTCTGCCGTTCTCCCCTGGAAATGCTACCAAACTAAAAAAAATCACATTGATACCAGTGATAGAAACTAAATTACAGGGTATTTATATTAGTTAAGGCATTTAAAATGTGTTAACTATTTACTAAGTCTATATTTTGAAAAAAATACTTAAAGTTTTCAAGACTATATCATTTTCCACTCTTAAATGCAACAAAAATATTTTTTAAACTCCTTTTCTTGGCCAAAATAAATGTCAGGGGACGACAGGGAGTAGACAGGGAAGGCAGGGACAACGACAGGGACTGGACAGGGAGATCAGAGAATGTCAGGGGACGACAGGGAGTAGACAGGGAAGGCAGGGACAACGACAGGGGACGACAGGGACTGGACAGGGAGAGCAGGGACAACGACAGGGGATCATAGGAGAAAGTCAGGGAGAGACAGGAAAATGTCAGGGACTGACAGGGGGACAACAGGGGATTTTTTGGAATCTAAGGGGATATTTAATTCAGTAGTGATAAATAAAGCAATTCTAAAGGGTTGATTTTTTATGCAACTTCTATCACTTACATCATTTAATGGATTTTTTTTCTAAATAAAAGAAGGCATTAAACTAGCTGAAAGATCTGAACAATTAAAAATCCTTGAAAAATCGATGTAGAATTCAAAATAATTCTTTATCTTATAAAGTACTTCTATAAAATGACTTATTATTTTATTTCCAACACGTTCTAAATTTAGTGAAACGTTCTAAGATTTGAAACTTCAATGAAGGAAATATTTTCCAGGGTAACTAATACATAGTAAGTTATTGTTTATATGGTAAATTATTGTATTGGTCAGTCATATTGCATGCAAAGACGAGCCAAACAAAAAATGCTATCAATTTCATCAATAATTTAATAGCTATTTAAACCAAAAAAAACAGATGTGTCATGTTGTAAAATTTGAATGTACCAAGTGACAGTAAATATAAACGTTTGTCATGTTTGCTGTGTCGCAGTAGATACCAGCCCAAGAACGATCCCTTAATTAAATTTACTTCTCAAGGGTCCTGAATGCCGAGTACAGGTCAAAATATGCAGTTCTGGTGGTGCCTCTATATGAGTGAAAATTATCTAGAAGTACGTTAACCACAAACAAAGTAACCGGTATTTCACACGTAAATGTAAATAAAAGGTCTAGTTTGATGGGTATGCCATGTGACATGAACAACAGTTTAAAAAGTGGGATAAGAAGAAGGTACGGTTTGGGCTTTATTGTGCCCTAAAACTTTCATTTTCTTAAAAGTTATAAAATTGGCTTTTACAATTCTTGAGTAGATGATATGAAGATAAATCATTAAAGAATATGGCATGAAAGAGCACCATTCTGCAAATATGACGTCACTTATTTGGTACATTTCCAAGTTAAATGCAGAAAAGCCTTGGAATGACTCGTTTCTGTGCTTATTTTCCTTTAGAAAATAATGTCTCCCACCGTCGCTCGCTTCAATTATTGGATATGTTATGTAAACTGCTTTTAAAAAATCACATATCTCAAAATCTTTGTGGGCGACAGTGACAGAGTATGTTTTCTGAAAGGAAATGCCACTGAAAATTGATGTCTTCTACAATTTTTTAGGAAAATACGGTAAAATGCACAAGTTAATGTCACAATTAACATTTAGCAGGTCATATAAGAAAAACGATTTATGTGTTCTTACAGCATGGAATTCCCATGATTCAGAAATAGTGAATTTGAATTTCTTATATCACTTTCATATTTTTGAAAAATATAGGGCTTAATGTTCATTGAAAATTGGCCTTGTTCTTTATGCAACGTTTCTAACTATCATTGATCCCCTTGGCATTCCCAAAAGCTAGACAGTGATTCAATTTTAAAAAAATTCCATTAAGGGTGATAAAAAAAGAATTGGTCGTTAACACATCACAAGTTATATTTAATAATTTTAGTTGAACATTTGGAAATAGAGCACATATAAAATCAATGCATCAGGTAGAAATAACAGATGATGGACCAGATAAAACAGCAGGTTGTTATTTCCATTGTCGGATGGGACCATCTTTTTAAATCGCATCCTAATGTGTTTCATTCTCAAATATATTATGTAAGAATGCATTGTGTACATTACAGTTTCTTATAAATATTGCATAATTATTTATAAACTATGTCTTGTGTGAATTGCTTTGTATTATTTGTATTTACATATGCATATGACTCGATTATACTTTGTCTTCTTCGTGTTGACATATGCATATACAGGTGACTTTCGATGGCTCGAACTCCGATCTCTCGAAGTAAACCTCCGGTCCCGTTTTTTTCCTCTATATAACTAATCAAATTTACTCCTGATCTCTCGTACTTCTATCTCTCGAAACTCTCAATCTCTCGAACCAAACCCTTGGTCCCGTTTACACATATTTCATTGAATTTTACTCTTTATCTCTCGAAGTTTTTATTGCGCGTGTATACACGCCGATCAAGCGTAAAATTGAGCCTGGACTTACCTGAAAAACAGTGAACGACTGGGGCTGGCATGGAGGTGTTAATTGGCTGTTTACATAATAGATGACACTATACCTGTGGGTCGTTCATGTGTTGATATAATTAATTGGTTATTATTGGTAAATTATAAACGAATTCACAACTTATTTTGACTTTAAACCGAGACGATAATATTTAGAAAATAAATTCTTTATAGACGTTTGTTTCAATAATTTCCCATAGACTATGAACTTTAATTGGAATCTACATAATCCCAGTATGGCATTTATTGCACAAGAAATTTCTTTCTCAAGGACTGAATACTGATTAAGAAAAATCTGTTGAACACTGGTGAAGGACCCGATCAAGCCGCGGAATAGCCAAACCGACAATTGCTATCCGGGTTTCATGTTTTCGTGAAAAATGAACAAATAAATATTGAAACTTCAGGAATTCGTTGTATTTATTCGAAATACGATCATTGTTGTTGATATCAAGTATATTACCTGTAAAATACGATTGAAAACGTGCAATAACTTTATTTACATATACTTCCGGTATCTATAATAGTAGAACATCGATGATCGGAACTGAAAATTCCGGATTTTATTTACTTTCTATCTCTCGAACCCCTCGATCTCTCGAACTTTTCTTGCGGTCCCTTGAACTTCGAGAGATCGAGAGTCACCTGTAACTTGTTATATTATTTTGTCATTATATTTAAAGAAATAAACGACCTCTTCTTTTCCTCTAATGAATATTCTGTCTTGTCTTTAATAAGGAAGTTATGTTAACTAGGTATACATACAACATATTTATGATAATATAGCAATTATGGGTACTGTTTTTTTTTCTATTTTGTATTTGGCACCTTTTCTTTAAATAGAACAGTCGTTCGTGTTCTCTGCGCATGCCCAATTTCTAGCAACATTCGCCATTTTTATCAATTCACAGAGGAATTCCTTTTAAAAAAAAAGTAGCCACCGCCCTTTCCACCTCCCGCAATTTTTGAACATTTTCTGTGTAAAAAAAATATCTATTTACTAAAGCCTTCATATATAGTATTATGACAGGTGTGCTCCATCTTTTCAATCACATTCTGTATATTATGTAAAATTATTGTGTGAACTGTACATCACATTTTAATAAATATAGCCTAATTGTTTGTAAAATGATTTTTGTGTGATATGCTTTGTATAATTTGTATTCACAGATACATATGACTTGTTTGATTATTCTGTCACTTATTTTTACTAAATAAATTTTCTCTTCTATTCTTCTTCTGAATGTTATGTCTCGTATTTGATAATGAGGTTATCTTTTTTAATCAGGTGCCCATAAATGAATATAACGTTAGTCGTTCGATTGAACTAATTGTCATCATTTGGGATACATGAGGCTGATTAATTTTATGGAAATTAAGGCTGATTAATTTTATGGAAATTAAGGCTGATTAATTTTATGGAAATTAATCCTTTGATTAAAATATATCCTTTGATAATGATAAAACAATACTTTGTTTTAATCAAAACAAACTCGTGATTTGTGTATTTTTTTTTTAAATCAGCGTGTTTTTTTATTATTGAACACTTAAGTTACATGTATATACAATAGCACTTTTGTATTACAAAACTTAAAGATGAAACTTCTTATGCTTTATTTCTCAGAATCTAACATGAGCCTGGGGAAAAACAAAGATGAAACATGGTAGGAGTCTTTTCACTATTTTTCATTATAAATTCATGGTTTAAAGTAATTAATTATTTAAGGAGCAATGACCCATTTCTTGGAGAAATAACTTTCAAACCTTTCAAATTTTATTAAGATTTAATTGTTTAGTCAAAATAGATAAAGCACTCACTCCATGATCGGAAGGTCTTGTGTTCGAAACACGGTCGCGACTGACGTTGAGTGAAAAATTCTCCAATGGGATGTAAAACAGCATTCAATCAATCGTATCCATATACCGAAGCCCGTTTAACACCTTTCAGATAATGCATTTCAATAAAAGAACTATTCTAAACTTTGTAAGTGGATTTATTTCGGTATACATTTCAAGAATTCGTTATAAGGCATCAAATATAATCTAATTCATGAATTGGTTTGATTTTATACTTGATACAAATTAAATTATGTATATCTGTTCGTAAAAAACTTACAGCAAAATCAACTTAACCATGTTTATCATTTTTCACTTTTTTTTTCAACCAAATGAAAACCCTTACAATTTTGACTGAAAACTTTAACTTGCTATTAGACGTACCTTATACATATAAATTAATGCATAATAATGTGACTGAAAAGACTTCGCTTCTTTTTTCTTACATAAATTTTTTTTGTGCATTGCATTATTTTTTTCATATCGTTATGAACCTCATATTTTAAATATATTATTATATATTTTAAACTTTCTGTTCACTGTGTCTTTTTTTCTTCACATGATTAGGCATAAAATAAATTATAGTAAAAGGAAGTCTCGTTTTTTGATCCATGTTTTTCACTTGAATGCTTTCGTTGTTGACATACATGTATATTAATATTAAGATTAGTTTGAGTTAAAAAAAAAACAGTAACACTTCAATTCCAATCAATGCAGAAAGTCATTGTCACTTGTACATTGTATATCAATTATTTTTTAAAAATAATACCGCATATTTGAGTTCATCTCACAATATGCGCCGTTATCAAAGCTCTATCCTTTTATTATATGTCATCATTCACCTCCTTTTTGTGGAAAAAACTAATAAATGTGATAAGCCGGAATTTATTTATCCATCCATACAGTGTCGGTACTTAGTCACTAGGTTTACGGGTTATCTCCCCTTTTCTATGCATCAATGAAAGTGAAAGGTGGGTGATGAAAGTATCCGATTTATGTTTTTGTATTATGAAATATTTTATAATAATTTCCAGTTTTTAAAGTTAAGTTTCAGTCAAAGAAGTAAAACAGATGATCTTATTAACATTGATATTGCTCGATGGCAAGTATTTTATTGGATTGAAACAGATCGATTTGCCACCCGTCCATGCTTTAAACACTGGCACATGGTACAAGATTACAATGTGGTAATAATAACCAACTTCATCAGCAGATTTTGAATGAATAAAAACTTACTTAGTGAAATAATCTATAAACAAAATGAGCTAATGTAAAAATAGGTATGAACTTCAACTTTATTCGGTCCATGTTATTCAAGGTCATTTGCCATTAAACATCCGTACACATGGTGGCCTATATTTAGTTACTTAGATTCCTTTAGCCTATCTTTAGGGGATTTAAAAATGGGAATATCCATAATTATAATTCTTACAGTATGAGTATGCTTTTGTAACTTTGGGTTTGGTGCATTTATCAGTTTATTTAAAATATTGAGTGATTTTTAAAAAAAAAATAAATAAATGTTCAAGGAAAGGGTTACCCTAGCATTGCCATACCAGTTTACCTTTTGTCCTAAAAACAGTGAATAAATAAAAAAAAAAAAAAAAAAGAAAAGAAATACAGATTGAGAATTAATAAAAGTTTGACAAATCTTTAGAAATGTTATTTAGCTAGATTCACAAAGGGACATAACTCTAATCAAAGTTTATAAATTTCAATCAAGGCCATTCAACTTTAACAGGGGTCCAAAGAGAGGCATGAAAGATATGCAATTGCGACAAAGGCAGTAATCAATTGTGAAATAAAATAGTTTGAAGTAAAATACATAACAAGTTTTGGTGCTTTTGAATGTAACATTACAATAATGCATTTTATGATATGAATGAAACATCAAGTAAGATGTGTATTTGTATTATACATATTTACAGTTGTACACATGCTATATGACAAAACTCAAGGTAAGTAAATATGAATGATGACTAAAAAAGTAAATAGATTTTGAGTCAAAAAATTCAGTTGGATGGAAGCATTACAATCAACAATTCAGGCTGTAAAATCTGGGAGGCATACCCGACATAGGTAACATGCACCAGAGTTGAATTGTACATTGTCTGTCAAATCCACATAATAATAATATATTAGGACCAGCAGCATCCTCACCTATTCGGATATCACTTCTCTTAAGGGGCTTGATAGGGAGGACAACTTCAGATTCAACAAGAACAATAACAATGTGGGCATAGTAATTTAGGACCTCAATGGTTCATTAGTGACAGTTGATATAAATAGGATTCCCCAAATTTTATTTTGATTAACTACATGTAATATCTAGCAAGGCTAGCTAATATTTTGCTGGTTAATATATATCAAAGGGTTCAGATTAAGTAAGATGGGGCGAAGGGCATGTTTCGCATATATTCCGTGTTGTCATTTTGGTCAATGGTGTAGTTAAAATTATACATAAAGAAAATAAAAGAAGGCCATTCTGTTCGTTCCTTGGAAGCCGTCTCCAGTGTACATGAGCATAATCATGAATTTCTCTAACAGCGCCTTTACCTTAATTGAGAAGGTTTGATGATAACACAATATAAACATATATTTAAAGGGACTGGGTGGTTGTGGCCATGTTTAGGCTATTTGGATCTCCTTTAGAAGAAGAGCTCAATAAAGATGTAACTGATCAAATTTTAAAGCTAAAATTTATGAAATTTTTCTGTGCCAAGTGATAGTTGACAGCTTAAGATATCATATCCCAAAATTTAAAATATATCTGGTGGTTAATAATTGTTGACCCCCTAGCCTCCTTAATGTCTTATCACCCCTTAACAGCATAAAGGCCTTGTATCCTATAAAGTGGTGTTTAGTAAATGAAAAGTTTTGTACCATCTTAAGTTAACATGAAAAATCAGGTAAACTTATTTTACTAATTTATTATATATAGATTATTTCACAAATGTTGATTATTTACACAGAGATTAATTTCAGCATGGGCTTTTATTTCCTGACAATGTTCTAAAAACATGGGTCTAGTCACTTGTTTAATATCTATACAAGAAGAGAACTTTGGGTATTGAAATACAATTCTACAAATAAAAGACTATAAAAAGAAGTTATATAATAATAATTTATAGGCTAATTGAAGCACTGTGAAATAAATAAATTGTCAAGAGTATTAGGAAATTAACATAATTAACATTTATTCCTTTGAGTTATCTTTCTCATTGGGGAAAGTGAACCTTAAAATAGGAATTGCAACTCAAATTTCCTGAACTTTTACCAATTTTACGTGTTATTCAATTTGCCATTGGGAATGAAGGACAATTTACAGAGTTCTTCAGGTGCTACAGTCAATGCATATGCAGGCTCATTTGAACACAGCTCACAGTGCTGGTACTTTCTATGTATTTTCCTAATATGGCATATGCTGTATGAATGGTCATGCAACAATAATAAATAAATCAATAAATAAATAAAATAGAAAGGGTTACAATGAGACTTATAAGGTTCAAATTGGGGCTTTTTGTCAGTGTTGGTTTCTGCTGTGTCTCTAAGTTGTTAAGATTTGCTATTTCACACAGATAAAAGTTGCTTTAGTTAAAATTCTATATTCACAGTTTTTAAACTCGCAAAGGGTAAGTTGTTTAGGTAACTAGTTTTCTTTATCACTAATAAGCACTAAAGGCGAGATTACCTAACTACCTAACAGCAGGGGGGGGGGGTTAACACGTATTATTCCACAGGCTAGGCTACAATCCAAACCATTTCCTACAATATTTTCTTTTTAATAGTATGTGCTTACTGTTGGAAATTAAGACACATATGCATATCTCAGGGGGCATTTTCCCATTGATAATATCAGTTCAAACCCAGGTGCCATTTGCATGTAATATGATAGGTGTTTATCTCTCATCTGAGCAGTTACATGTAGCATAATTATTTTATGTTACTTTACACATTTATCTCATTTGGGATTAAGATGCATTAGTCGGTGCATATATATGTACATGCAGTTTACATTCATGCATTAGCTAGTGGGTACAAATACAGGTTAGCTAGGGGATACAAATACAAATCCACATGTGTGTAGGAGTTACAAGATTCATAGTACTAAGATAAGATAAACTTCTCCAGCATTTTAGGGTATTAGATATAGGATAGGTTTCCACTGACTAAGCATATTAATTTTTATGCTCTCTCTCTATCATATATCCATTTTCTACAGCCTTAAAAAGAGTTTGAAGTCTATTATTTAAATAACCTATTCCATAACATATTTTTGCAGGGGGGGGGGGGCTTAAGGTGTGAAAAGATCATGCATTTTTGATAGAGCATCAGCTGGGAAGGGGTTTAGAATAAAGGATTTAGTCATAGGTGCCTTCAATGTCTGCTGCAGTCCAACTACATTTACAAATGAGCAGTAAAATACAAAGTCCTCCATTGTGTGTCTTAGTTTGAAAGGTACTTATTAATACAAGATTTAATCAATTTTAAATGGTCCTTTGAAGAGTTCGCTTTCAAAATAAGTGGTACAGGTATAACATCATTCTCTCAGAACTGGCAAGATACATAATCAAACATCACAAAACATGTTCTGTAGTTTACAAATCGGGCATTTGAACACTTTTAAAATTATTGTCAACAATACAGGAATAGCATAATCATGCTGAAAGGGAAAGGGGGGGGGTTAAAGAGTAAAGGTGCTCATTCATCTTGTTTCTAATCTCTGCATGAAAGTATTTTATCACCTAAAAAATAAATAAGAAATAAAATTCAAATTTATAAACAAATAAATAAAAAGGGGGGGGGGGGAATCTAAATAAAACGTATTTTCTACATAATTTTCTTACATTAGTCCAGGTAGTAGTTCTCTCTTGCCAGCTGGATATTAATAATGGAATCTGAGACCCAAAGCAATATACAAGTAACTTGGAAAGATATAAATTCAGGAGGGGGGGGGGCGCTAGGCCCAATTAATTTGAAGGGAGACCAGAATTATTTTAATGCAGGATAGTTCTACAGTGGGTTGGCAATGAGAGAGAGTGATGTTCACGATGGATGGGTTGCTGAGGGTTTTGAGTAGGCTAGGAGTCCATGGTGGGTGGTTAAATTGAAGTTGCCTACCCCCACCAGGTGGCGGTGGGCACCTACGGTGCCCATGTGGCGAAATCGTCACCTTCAATTTAACCATTGAACTGTTGATTTTGTTGACTTTTTGTGGTTGATGATGATATATGTGATGGTTGATGTTGATATATGTGATGTTGACTTTGAAAATTATATCTTATACAATTTAAAGCTAAAGCAAAATAATATAATTATAAAAGATAATTTGTGTTGAAATGTGTCCGTAGCACGAATGAGGTCAACCCAGCGTGCTACTTTTCCCGTTAGGGAGGGCACAACTTATGTTGATGTTGGGGATACGCCATTTTGCCGGCTGCCCCACTGTTGTGTAGACCACTGTGGACAATACCTGCCAACTCGAATAAAACATTAAACTGAAATACGTAGCATTTGTTTATTATATACATAGGTCTTTGATAATACCGCATATTTGAGTTCATCTCACAATATGCGCCGTTATCAAAGCTCTATCCTTTTATTATATGTCATCATTCACCTCCTTTTTGTGGAAAAAACTAATAAATGTGATAAGCCGGAATTTATTTATCCATCCATACAGTGTCGGTACTTAGTCACTAGGTTTACGGGTTATCTCCCCTTTTCTATGCATCAATGAAAGTGAAAGGTGGGTGATGAAAGTATCCGATTTATGTTTTTGTATTATGAAATACCCTCCCACCTCAACCCTTGAGCTAGGTGTTAAGTATATACCCTTTCTCCTTTTGTTTGTTTAAATAACGTTTTTCATTGTTTTACATGGTTTGGCTATACCAAATTTATTAGAGTTATGCAAATGTTATTGAGAATCTTTTTCTGCTGTGGGTTTTTGTTTTTGTCTTTTCAGATATTACAGATTTCGTTGAAGGAGACTAACGATGCTGATCTGAATTGCCTGCTATTTCCGTATTCTGGGACCTTTGGAATGATCTCTGGCCGAATACCATGCATGACAAGGGTCAACTTGGCGAATTATCCATTCGAGGAGTTCGGGGAAAGACAGTAAACTATACTTCACAGTGGTCGTATTGGCGAAATCGTCACCTTCAATTTAACCATTGAACTGTTGATTTTGTTGACTTTTTGTGGTTGATGATGATATATGTGATGGTTGATGTTGATATATGTGATGTTGACTTTGAAAATTATATCTTATACAATTTAAAGCTAAAGCAAAATAATATAATTATAAAAGATAATTTGTGTTGAAATGTGTCCGTAGCACGAATGAGGTCAACCCAGCGTTCTACTTTTCCCGTTAGGGAGGGCACAACTTATGTTGATGTTGGGGGTACGCCATTTTGCCGGCTGCCCCACTGTTGTGTAGACCACTGTGGACAATACCTGCCAACTCGAATAAAACATTAAACTGAAATACGTAGCATTTGTTTATTATATACATGTACATAGGTCTTTGATAATGAGAATAACGAAAATAATTAAACTGAATGTTTTGGTTTAGTTGTTGAAACATTGGTAGCTTTATGCCTTCTGTGCCATCATGTTGTCAGCGTTTCAAATAGACTGTAAGTATTGTTTAAACTTGTTTTTGTATTTAACTATTCAGCTATTTCATTAAGTTTTTTTGGCATATATTTACATTTTCTGGAAAATGAAGTATATAGAGATAACGAACAGTATTCAAGCTCAAAAGTCCACAAAACAGGAGCAGGGAAAACATTTGATTTCAAAACACGAGATGTGTTATCAGGTGCCATGGAGGAGTAATAACATTTATATGACAAGTTTTAATTATTAGGTATGTAAAAAACAATCAATGAATTTCAAATTTGAACAAAATATGCTTTTCTCCAGACAATGTATTGAAAGAGCCAAAGATTTTTACAACAAGATTAGTAACACCACAACATTTTATCAAGTTTTGAAAGTAAGTGTAGACATTTTATAGCTTTGAATATTTAGTATTACAGAGTTCAACTGTAGAATGAGATTTTTATATATTTTAGAATAAATTTATCATAATACAAGATAACATTAAGAACCAATAAAAAACCATTGTTCTTACATCTTTTAGAAAAAGTATCATTGAGAAATATCAAAGAATGTTCCGAAGACTGTGTTGTAAAAGAAACATCGAGGGAGGATGTAACGTGCCTGAGGTATGAGGCTTTTATAATTGATCAAATTTCCAATGAAAGAGATAAATTTCATTGAAACCAATTTTTATGGTATATCCAGGTAATTTGTTAATTGGTAATCCTGGTTGATTTGGTAAGATAAATCCCTGTGTTGGTCAGCAAAATATTGCATTGCAGGGGCAAACAAGAGCACAACATAAGATGATTAAAGTTTCAACAATGCTTTAATTAACGTAATAAATGTAATACAGATGGCTGGATAACCAAATATTCAAACAATGGTGATGTAATACAGTTGGTCAGATCGGACGTCACATATTATGATTTGGTAACGTTAATATCATTTGGTAACGTATTATGATTTGGTAACATTATTATGATTTGGTAAAATGATGACTGTTAATTTTCCGTAATAAATCAATTAGGTCAAATTTAAACAATGGTAAAACTTCGTAGAGACTGTTGAATTCCTTAATAAATCTATTTGGTCAATATAATCTACAGTAAAAACTCCCCATTCGTTAGTTATATCAGTATTTACGTACAATTTCTATGAAAGTTGTTGAGCAGACGTTCTGCAGAGTCAAAACTGAAACCTCAGCGTCCGTTGAGATGCTTTTATAGGGTAAACTACCGGACATGCGCAGTGCGCTTTACCTAACCAAAAAGAAAGTATAGACCAAAATGGCAGACGATACTAACAACATCGCCTAAATGGGACAAACCATGAAAAATACGAACGATGTGACGCCGAATCGTAAAACAAATACATAGCAATAAACAATAAAGGTAAATTACATAAAAATGTACAATACATGTTGCGTAACAGTGAACAGTAATAAAATAATGACGTTCGAGGACGAAGTACAATAACCTAAACCCCCCTTGTAAATTAGAATGTTCCGAATCGCCATGACCAAAAAGGAAAACAACGTGATCGACAGACACACATGAAAAACGGTATTTACGATCATTTTACAACCTGAACTGTAAGTTAAATGAAATAGACATTCATATATGAATTTATTTAATATGAAGAGACGGCCTTTTTAATTTTTTCCAGAGATACTAATCAAAGTATCTTAACAACATTCTTGAGATTTTCCTTCATAAAAAATATATATATTTTTAAAAATACATTTTCTTCAATTGTGGTTTTTAAAAAATAGTTTGTTTGTTTTTTCTAATAATACAACTTTTTGAAATTACTTTGTCTTGAATTGTTAATCAAAATAAGAGTTAAATGTAAATACTTAGTTATTACGAATGCGGATACAGTTACTTCAATATATGATATAATCTATATTTCATACACAATGGAAATCAAGTTATCAACTATGGCATCTATCCAATTTTCTATTTTCATTCGTATATAAGCAAACCGGTTGGGGAATATAACTTGTTAAGAAATGCGGCTCAAGTACATTATAAGACGAAAATAGTTCCATTTTTTTCCTCGTAAGAATATATATTATTGCATGTTCATTTATATTCATAAATGTACAAAACAAGATGAATTAGCATATTTTGCATATGAATTAAATGTAAATATTAATAAATATTTAGAGCCATTGTTGGTGAATTATACAAACCAACTGCATTCTTTATTGCATTCTGTATCGTCAACCAATTATTATATTAAATGGATCATAAATGTACAAAACAAGATATTTATCTTGCATATGAATTAATTTAAAAGATCATCTGTTCATACAAATGTTACTATGTTTGCTTAACAGGTCGACGGGTCGACAGGTAGACAGGTTGACAGGTTGACAGGTCGACAGGTAGACAGGTCGACAAGTAGACAGGTCAACGGGTTGACAGGTCGACAGGTAGACAGGTCAACGGGTTGACAGGTCGACGGGTTGATAGGTCGACAGGTCGACAGGTCGACGGGTTGACAGATCGGCATGTTTATTTAAATATGTAATTTTGTTGACCTGTCAACAAGTCGTCATAGGTTTGGATAGTCAAATGGAGATGTATACATTTAACTGTTAACAGACATTGCGCATATGAAAAGAAAATAAAAATTTCACTTTTAGGCATTCAATGTACATGTATCTTATGATATGATTGACCCCCCCCCCAAGATGATCCGTGTAGTGATATAACTATATAAATATACATTGAATTATTAAAAAAAAAGCTGTCTACTTGTAGACCTGTCAACCTGTCAACCTGTCTATCTGTCGACATGTCTACCTGTCGACCTGTCTACCTGTCTACCTGTCGACCTGTCAGCCTGTCAAGTTGTAAAAAAGTTTGTTTATTATCAAAAATGGACATGTCAAACATGTATTGTTATTATTAAAAGATTAAAACATAAATGTCTTTTTTTGTAATGTATTCAACGATCAAAATTTGTTTTCAATAATAATTTTTAATGTATATTTTTATGTTATTATAGGCAAGAATAAATCCATCTCTTACCTTTGATTTTCAGGGACGATTTGGCCTACATGTACATGCATGTTTCATATAGTTTTTCCATATTGTTCGTTCGTATATGTAGTGTACAAGCACATAAAAAGTTGATCTTTATTTTGCTAAAAGAATGTACATTTTTTATTCTAGCTTACATGTATATGCTCCTATTTTGAAATGTTGAAAATCAAAAGAGCCAACGGCATTCTGAAGAGAAGAGTGGAAAAAATAAATCACATTGTATTATCAATACCATTCAAAACAAATAGCTTGCTTTTGGGAGACGATTAATACAAAGGCTGTATGTGGATCTAAATGGTTGAATCAATAAAATATTAACCCCCCTTCCCGTAATTGGGGATATTTTAATTTTGGTCTGTATGTCTAGCTGTCTGTCTTTCTGCCTCGCTTTTGTTTCTACGTTAAACTTTGTTTTTTATAAATTATTCGTAGGATCGGGAAACATAGCATTTTAATAAATAAAAAGAAATATTAGATAAAAATTAAAACGTATTTTCTACATAAAAAAAACTTTCCAAAGCCCACACTTTTATTGATAATGGATCGATGTTCAACCAAATAAGTGAATAAGTGGAATAAGTGAGTATAAATAGGTGAATATAAGAGTGAATATATCGATTATAATTAAAGTTGAGTTACTTTGCTATACCAGTTTATAAAATCAGTTTACCACCTTCACAACTTGAAAATCTAACTCTAGCCAAGATACAAAAAAATTAGTACTTGAAGAATGTGTTTTTTTAACAAAAGATGGAAGAACGTGTACTTTCTTTTCTACGAAAGTGCTCTTAAATCTAGAGTGTTTTACTTCAGGGGTTATAATTATTAAAAATTATTTCAAGCTTTTATTAACTTGCTATAACATCAGTATATAACGTCTCTCTATATTGGCTTAATACTTATATGCTTAATTGTCTGGCACACAATATATATAGCTGTTTATCTTGCAAACAATATCTTTCTAATCATACCCCTTCACTGGGGAGTTAGATAAGTGATTCAGTATATTTTCCCCCTATTTCAAGAGAATGATATTTTAGCATTTTATATATTATATTATATTTTCAATATTAAGGTATACAATAAGCCTGAGTATCCTTTGTCCTTGGATGAGTGACCAACATATGTTACAACTGCATTAATTTGCAAAAAGAAGTGAAGAAGATATTTGCACCGAGTTTAGACCGAGTTAGTGTTTAAAGTTAAAGATACAGTTATAAGATCTTGAATTTTCCATGGATTCCGATGACTGGACATAAGGGGATTGCATGGATAAGATGATTAAGCTGGTCGTCAAGGGGGTGTGTCCCTATACCAAACCAGATTATACAAAATATTTTGCGTACCTTTTTAGAAATCAAGCGATGAAAGGCGAGAATATAAACAAAATATAAAGAATATAAACAAAATTAAATTATTTTGAGATGGATCACTGTTATGTTCGTCTTTTACTGAGTACATGTATATACACAGTTTATAGTTATTCAGTAGAAATTGAACTGAACATTGTAACATTTCATTAACTTGTCTCATGAAGTCATTGTTAAGAACAGTTGATACAAACATTTTTTTTCTTTGGAGAAGATTAAATATCGTGTCACTGTACTAGTTTTATAAAAGAGGATATAATTCTCTGATTTTTTTATCCATGGACTTGGAGAATGAAATACCTTCTATAATTCCCCCGGGAAAAGCAAAACGGTAAAAATTCACAAAAATCAAATAGACTGATTTTAACCATTATGCTTTTCCGCATAAAATTCACCAAGCTTGATACATTATCAAAGTTTATATTACACTTAAAGCACCAAACTAGGATTTATATTATATTCTGAAATTTGTTTTCATCTGTAAACCTTTACTAAGTGTGGTTTTTCCGTAATTAAAATTTTATTCAAGTATTATCTAATGTTTTCCAAGTGGGTATTTATTTTATGCAAGAAAATACAACCTTACGGTTTATTGACTAAATGTAATACTAATTAACTACACGTGCTCCTTTAGTAACATTTTTTAAAAAAAATAAGAGGGAAAACGAATGAAGACATGATTATTCTAGCTATGTACTTTTTTGGGGGGGAGGGGGGTATCGAAAATTTCAATTTTACAAGTTTAAAGAGTAAAAACCCAAGGAATTATATCTGTTTTTCTAAACCAGTGGCATAATAAGTCTCCTCCAAGGAAAAAAAAATTGTATCATCTGTCCTTAACTAATACACTTCATAAAGGGGAAGACATACTAGTGTTAAAACGAAGTACATTGGATTTGAGATAAGAGGAACAAATATATTATGTATAAAACTTAAAATCAATTTAGAAACCGG